GACTGGGCAATCCCTGTGGATGTACGGCGGCAGTGCAGCAAATGACGATGCCGCCATGAAAGCTGCAGCGAATGAGGTTCGTGTGTGGTGCTACGCGCCTGTCTCCAGCGCTGTATGACCATCTAACTTGGAGCCTCGCATTTTATGTAGTTGCGGGGCATCAACAGGTTCATTTCTTCGTCTGAGAATGGCCTGCACTACCCGCTCATCGCTCTGATCGACTTCCTCGGCTATCGCCTTATGGTACGGCAGCTCCACCAAAGTGTCCTTTGCACTTGGCCGTCACTGGAGCGCAATGAATGCTAGCGAACTGTTTACTCTCCCATTAGGCGGTGTCATTGGTCCCCATCGACAAAGACACGCTTATGGTCGGTTCCTCCGATGGCGGCAAACAGTGCGTGTCCTACTATGGCCCTTTGCGAGTTCAAGAAGGCAAAGCGAAACCTGTGACTCACCTCCGCTGTGCCTACAGTATGCATGCGGAGGATCCTGTCTTGATGAAGAAGATCAAGAGCGTGGGCAAGAAGCTGAATCTCAAGAAGCACCTTGTTTGTGGGCATGCGGTTCACACCCCTGGCGATCTTGAAGGTACTGCCAGCTGTCAGGCCAATCCATGTGCTGCGGCCTCCTGCAGCAGCTGACGCTTGTCGCAATTCGTTCAGGGCACAAGGGGCGCGACGGCAGATACTACGTTGTAGACTTTGGCAGGTACATCACATTCTCCCCCCTTTTTTTAACCTCCTACCTCGCCGATGACCTGTTTCTTCACATGTGCTACAGATGCTTCCCGCCAGAGACCCCAGACAAAAGGTACGTGCATACACACGTAGCTCTCATCCACTTTGCTGGTCTTCTCATTGTGGGTCCACTCGACAGGGACCCGGACTACGCTCGATCTGTGTTCTTCAAACAGCTGAGGTAGGTCATCCGCGCGTGCGTGTGCTTCGGGCATTGGCCTGGGCTCACCCCACACAACCAGGCCCGAGTTCGTCGCGAGTTACCAGAAGCCGCTCTCCTCCGACGCCTACACCATGTGGCAGAGGACTGATCCCAACCAAAACACGCACAACGCAGAGGTACTGCAGTACTGACCGTGAGCTGGAAACACAACACACACTGATGCACCACCGCACACGCACCACAGGTGAAACAAGCATGCCAGCACTTGTACGATGTGGTCATCCCGCAGTTCTGCAAGAAGCTCGACAAGCGACACGACGTCAAGGACGAATACTACACTTCAGAGACGCACAGGTACTGTCTCTTGATGACGCGGCCGTTTGCGGGCTCAACTTCTCATATGCGCACGCACGTACGTGCCACGCAGGAACGGTATCTGCGTGCGCCATTTCGGTCGCTTGCGCGAAAAGTGTGAAAACTCCTATCCGCGCAAGATCCTGCTGTCGGACATGATCGCGCGAGTCATCAAGGTCATGCTGCGCCGCTTCTTCCGCGAGAAAATGCGGTTCGTCATTTTTTTTTTTTTTTTTGACCACTTCACCCCATCACTTGCGCTGACTGGTTCGTCTGTGCTATCTTCCGCACAGGGACGAAAGCGCAGTGTCCGAGGTGCCCTACAGGATCATCATTGTCGAGTTCCTCAACTTCATACTGGACATTGAGTTCCCGCCCTCTCGGCACTGGTGGACGCACAACTGCGAGAAGCTCGTGGACGTCTCCGATCCTAAGGTTTCCTTCCCTCAGGCTTTTTCTTGTTTCTTTTTTTCGTCTGATGGCTTCCAGCTCACCGTGTGCGTGTGCGTGTGCGTGTGCGTGTGCGTGTGCGTGTGCGTGTGCGTGTGTTTTTCTTCTTAGGGCTTGGAAAGAGCCCAAGCCATTCTTCAGAAATACCCGTGTGTAGGCAAATACCTGTGTAGGTGGCCGACTCTCAAATACTTGCTCCTTCACAAGTTTGGCAGGTACGGCTGACCCTCCACCTTTGAGCCATTCGTGTGTGTGTTAGATTGTGTGTGTGTGTGTGTGTTGTAGTGCGTGCGTGCTTGCGCGCGTGCGCTCACTCGCTCCTCCTTTGGAATGAGCACAGTTCGTGTCTGTCACCGGTCGAATCTGACGCCAGCTATCAGCTGGGAAATGTCCTATTCGTTTACTGGTAAGCCCACCTCAACAAGCCACGCACGCACGCACACGCACGCACGCACGCACGCAATACAATCTAAACAAAAGCGCTGTGTCTGGTCCACTTGTAGGATCCTCAAGCGAGTGCAGGAGATGATGTGCATCAGGTGGAGCACACACGCGTGGGACGACTTCATGGAGTCCAACCGGTGGGGCTTCCGCTTTGTGGAGACCGACATCGCCTCGTTCGAAGCCCGCACCAAGCACATGGGCATCATTTCCCTGTACGAAGGTCACACCACCCACCTCGCCCTCGCTTGAACCCCGTACCCGCGGTTAAAGTAGGACTCACCCACTCACTCACTTTCGATCGTGACAGGCACGGCGTCGCTACTACCGGCCCTGCTCCCCAGCACCGAACCGCGCGAAGCCATCCGCCTCCTGCGGGACGCTCGAGTACAGCCCAGCCCAACCCAACCCCACCTCGCTCGGCTTCTTGATCGATCGGCCTTCACCGCTGGCTGACCTCCGTGATGTGTGCTGCGTGGGCGTAGACGCACCTGTTCAACGCATGGCAGTCCAACTCGGACGACTTCAGTACCCTGCGACAGCTCGGCGTGTGTAACTTTGAGCTCGCGCAGCGCATCGAGTGCGCTCCTCGTCAACCCCCTCCACCTGCCGGCTCACGCGATCTATCATAGCTAACTCATCACCTCTACTGTTCGTCAATGGCCACGTCCTGGCAGGAAGCGGTGGCAAGAGAAGCGGTCGGCGGCGGCGGCGGGGTCGATGCGACTCTCGTCTTCGGGGCAGCGCAGACTGCAGGACAGCAGCAACTCAGAGACGGACTCGGTCACCTCTCTCGGTGATGGCGACGGTAGCGAGGCCGAGACCTCCACCATACTCAAGCGCCACGATCTCTCCGCCACCCCGACCCACGTGCCACGTCAGCGCAATCAAGTCAAGACCGAGGAGCAAAAGGGTGCGCTTTCGCCGTGTGGCTAGCTGGCAAGCGCGCCGCTGCCGCCGCTCCCGCTCTCTCTCTAACTCGCTTTGCAGAGATTCAGATGCTGGCCGAACAAGCCGTCGACAACTTCAAGAAGGCCGCCACCATCAGGCCCGAGGACAGTATGATCCTCGTGCAACTCGGTGCGTTTGTATTTTATCGCTATTGTCGTCATCGTCATCGTCGTCATTGTCGTCATCATTGTCATTGTCATTGTCATCGTCGTCGTCGTCATCGTCATTGTCGTCATTGTTGTCGACATAGCTCACGCCAATGTCTTTGGTTTGTCATCTGTCGAAGGGCTGGCCCACGTCATGCGGGCCAGGTGCCGCGCCCAGAGGCAGGAAGACTTTTACCTGGCGGCCCAGATCTTCGAGGAGCGCCTCGCCCAAGGCAACAGTACGAAACACACACACCACACACACACACACACCACACACACAACACACACCAACGGCAAACACGACACACACGCAGCTGGCCTGGTGCTGGAGCGCGTGCTCTATCCGGCGCTGCAGAGCCGGGGCGAGGAGCTGAGCGGCTTCCTCCGCATGCTCTACCACTCGACCCCGCTAGTTCTCTTCTTCGCACTGCACATGGGACCCGCGACGGTGGTCGACGACGGGGAGTCGAGGCCCAGCCGTACCATGACCGAAGGCGTCGCCGACGCCATCGCCGTGTGGGAGTCGCAGCAGCTGACCGAACTGAAGCTGAGCCAAAGCACGCGTGCGACGGACTCGACGACGCGCAGCAAACCGGCGGCGGCGGCGCCCGAGCTGCAGCAGAGCGGGGACAAGGCCTTCTGGGGCCTGCTCAAGGAGGAGCAGAAGCGCGACGCGGCCCAGCAGCAGACCACGACCGTAGGCCCGAAGACGAACAACGGCAGCGGCGGCGGCGGCGGCGATGATGATGTCGGGTGGTGCCTGGACTTTGCCGAGTCGGGCGAGGTGCTGACGGACCCGGCGGTGCTCACCCTCCAGAGCCTGTTCGACAACACGCCGCGGCACCGGCTTCACGGCCTCGCCATCGCGTCGATGAGCTTCGCCGGCTGCGACCTACTCACCGACACCTCGCTCGCTTCGCTCTTCCGCTTCCTCCGGCGCACGCAGCACGACGCCGACCAGGCGCTCACCACCGCCGCCAGCGCCAGCGCCGCGGTCGCAAACAACATCGGTTCCCCGCAGCTCGGCAGCAGCGCGAGCGTCGGCAAGCACAAGCGATCGAGCGAAAAGCCCAACAAGAAGCAGGCGGCGCTCAACAAGACGGCAGTGGCCGACCACAACGCTGAACCGCAGCGGACGGCGCGGGTGTTCCCCGAGGAGGTGGACTTGGCGATGTGCAACATCACCGACGCGACGTTGCTGCAGATCGCGGGCGGCGGCGGGGGAGACGCTGATGAGACGTCGTCGCCGGTGAACAACCACCGACTGCGGCGGATCAGGCTCGACGGCTGCCGGACCGTCACGGGCGGCGCCATCGCTGCCCTGCTCGCCCGCTGTCCCAACCTGGAGAAGCTCGCCGCCAGAGACTGCCCCGCCATCGCCTGGTCAAAGAAGACGGTCACTCAGGTACGCGATCACATGTGCGTGTTGTGTGCGTGTTGCATGCAAGTGTTGAGTGCTGCGTGCGTGCGTGCGTGTTGTGTGCGTGTGCGTGTGCGTGTGAGTGTTGCGTGTTGCGTGTGCGTGATTGTGAAGGTGGCTCACATGCGGCACTCCGGCGCAGGCCCTCAAACAAGCAACGCAGCTCAGGGTGTTGGATGTGCGAGGCGGCGACGTCAGCGAGAAGTGGGTCCAGGCCACCAAGAAGAACTCCGCCCAACTCTCCATTCTCCACTCTCTCTAAAGTATCTAATATTCTTACGATGGCCAAGTTGATAATGCTGCAATGCAGCGTCCAACCAACAAGTTGTAAAGTTCTAGGCGGGGCTTTTCTTGATGATGTAGAGCAGGAGGAGGGAGATGAGCCGGAAGCCCACGGCCATGCCCGCCAACACGCCCAGGCAGGGTCCCATCTCGGTGAACACCAGGTGCTGCTGCTTGAGGATCACGTTGCCGTCGTAGCCCAGGCACTCCTCCGGCACGCTCGACGGACAATCGTACATGTTGTCCTTGAGCTCGTTCACCTGAGCACCCCACCACCATCATGAACGTCCATCATCAGCCTCAACCACCCATTTTCATGACTGTAGTAATGGGGAGTCGCGTACGGCCATCGCCGCGTAGGTGTATTGTAGATAGGAAGTGTAGCCAATGATCTCCAGGTAGATGATGAACGTGTCGGGGTTGATGAGGTAGCCCGTACCTGGTCATTCGAACACATCAGCGATCAACGACAGAGAGAAGTGGGGGTGGTGCATTGATAGAGGAGCGGGCGGGTGTTCGCGTACAAAGATTCCAGAAGGACACGAAGGAGTTGGCCGCGAGCGAAGCGGTCGCAAACGTCCGCGTGAGTGCGATGAACAGGAATCCCAGCGATTCAGCCACGTACTGCGCAAGGCTGGAAACAGACACGTCAACCAACCACAGTTGCACACACGACACGACACGACACGACACGACACGACACGACACGACACGACACGACACGACACGACACGACACGACACGACACGACACGACACGACACGACACGACACGACACGACACGACACGACACGGTGGACGTACAAGACGCAGAGGGTGAACCACAGGAAGGCGTCCCACTCGGGCCGCAACCCGGTCATCCAGTAGTAGATGCTCGAGAAGATGATGGGCATGATCACCGCAAAGGGGAACGACGTGGCCAGCATCGATAGAAAATAGGGCAACACCGACACCATGTTGTCGTGCTGCTCTCGGCTGAACACCTTCAGCTCCTCCTCGTCTGTGTAGTCGACGACACGCACGACACGCACACGCGTGTGATTGAGGGGGTCACGCGGGTCGGCCGGCACAGGGAAGAGTAGCGTACAGTGTAGCATGGTGGTGAGCATGACGACGTAGGGCTGCAGGCCCACAACGCCGAAGATGGCGCCGAGTCGGCCCTGGATGTCTTCCTTGCTGCCGTCGCCCACTTGCAGGAAGATGAGCCCCTGGTGGTGTGGGGTGGGGTGGTGTGGCGTGCGACGTGTGCCGTGTCGTGTGACGTGCGGCGTGTGCGGCGTGTCGTGTGGTGAGTGAAGTCAAAATGGATGGTGAAGGCGGCCGGTCAGCCGGGACTTACCATGGCGATGGCCATGAGCACGGTCTCGAGCAGTTGCGAAACGAGATAGGCGTAGTTGCGGAACAGGTGCTTGAAGCCGCGATGGGTGAGCACGCCGGTCTGGATCAGGTAGTTGGCCTTCTTGGCTCTCACCTAGACGCACACATGACACGACACGACACGACACGACACGACACGACACGACACGACACACACGACACACACGACACACACGACACACACGACACACACGACACACACGACACACGGTCAGAAGGCGTCATGTGTGCGGTTGGAGTGCAGCAGATGATGTGATGTGCCTGGCCCATGAGCTCGCCTCGGGTGGTGACGGTGTTGGCGCGCTGGCGTCGGGGTGAAAGCGGCGTCTCCATGAAATCGGGGTACGAGGCGTCCTTCTCCTTGCGCCGCATCTCCTTGCTCTGCGCCAGAGACTTCGTCACCGGGAAGTAACTCGACAGGTCCTCCACCGACGGCCTGTCCCACCACACACGTTAGCACCGCACACACCGCACGCACACGCACACGCACACACCGCACACACCGCACACAGACCTGAAGCTTTGGGAGTCGTCGAGCGATTGATGTGAAAGGCTGGAGTCGAGGCGATCGTGGGAGGCGAAGCGGGCGGAGGAGCTGCTGCGCTTCATTGACGGCGAACTGCCGATCCGGTCCGAGCTCTCGTTGCCCTCGTTGGGGCCGCCATCGGAGCCCGATCGGAATCGCGCGGAGGACTGGCTGCGCCGCATCGACGCCGAGCTGCCGATCCGGTCCGAGTTCTCGCCTTCGCCGTCGCCCGACTTCATCATGTTCGAACTCGAACGCCAACGACCTTGGCGTTCAATAAATAAATAAATAAAATGAAGATGACGTCAGCTTCCACTATATCATAAGCAGATCACACATATGGATATATATAGATGTATAGATATAGATGTATGTGGTACCTGAGAGTGTTCGCTGCAGAGCGGCACGGCTGATGGTGCCCGATTGCTTGATCTTGTCCAACCAACCGCTCGACGATTGCTTCAACGCATCTCTGCCAATGTTCGACGACGACGACGACGATTGACGAACCGAAAAACGTCAGCTGTAGGCGGAGAGGTGACGTGGCACGGTGGCCCCGCGGGGGGGAGGTGACGTAATGCGTACCGATCGAGCTTCTGCATGGTCATCCAGTCGTCGGAGGACTGGGTGAGACCGAACCGCTTGCGGCCTTCAAGGGAGAGCTCCTTCTCCTCCTCGATCTCGGCCTGCACCTCCTTGCGCACACGCGACGCACGGAAGTAGGAAGACAACGCGTCGATTCGCTGCAGGCACAGCTCCTCCTCCCGCGAGTCCACCGTCACCATATCCACTATTTACCGCACACGCACACACGCACACACACGCACACGCGCACGCAGTAAGCACAGTGTGGTGTGCGGGCGAGGAGTGTAGAGAGGGGGAACGCACGGACAAAGTCGGCGGGGTTCATCAGCGAGGGGCACTTGAGCCCGAGGCCCTCGAAGTAGGGCAGCATGCCCGTCGTGGGTCCGAAGTAAATCTCACGGCCTGCCCCCGATAAAATCGAGAGAGTCCGAGTCAGTCAGTGAGCACGGGCGTTGCGGCTTCAAGTGGGGCGCCCGGGCGCAGCACCTTTGGAGAGGAGCATCACGGAATCGAAGAGTTTGAAGACGTAGGACTGCGGCTGGTGGATGGTACAGATCACCGTTTTGCCCTGTAAAAAAAGCATCGATGAATGCTGGGCAGGCGCTGATGGGGATGAGAAGAAGAAGGTACTTACCTGGCGGGTGATCGCGTGCAGGGTTTCGATGAGCGAGGTGGCGGTGAAGCTGTCGAGGCCCGAGGTGGGCTCGTCCAAAAACAGCACACCTGGGAAAACAATGTAAGTTTTTAGGAACAAATAATAAGAATAAAGTAAATGAGTAAAATTTGTAATGGCACGTACTGGGGTTGGTCAACATCTGGATGCCGATGGATACTCGTCGCCGTTGGCCACCAGAAATGCCGTGCGACCCATCACCGCCCACTCGTCGGTTGGCGCACTCTTTGAGTCCGAGCTCACGGATTACCTCCTCCACCTAGCTCGGAGTTAGTCGTTTCTCTAAAAGAGCGAATGATGAGGAGGGATGAAGGCTGGGGAGGGAGCACGATACGATGAGCTTCTTCTTTTTGTGAGGGATCGATGACGGCAGACGCAGGTAGCCGGCGTACTGGAGCGTCTCTCGCACGGTGAGATGGGGCAACAAGTGGTCATGCTGCAGCACATAACCCACCACTTGCTTGGCCTGCACACGACACACGAGCGTGGTAAGAGCCACTGGCAAGCGATGGGTTACTCAGGACGTCGGCACACGGACCTCCTTGGGGTTGAGCTCGTAGCCCTCGAAAATGATGCGGCCGTCGATCTTGACCTTGCTGCCGAACCCCATCGATGTCCCGTGCTTCACCCGACCAGCCAACACGTTCAGTAGCGTGGTCTTTCCGCTTCCTGTGGCGGTTGGGGGGAGGGCGTGAGCGTGAGCGCGTGTCAAAGAAATACAAGTATGCGAGAAAGGCGATGGTCATACCGCTTCCGCCCATGATGGCGAGGAGCTGGCCGGGGTGGATGACGCCGTCGATGTCGCGCAGCATGTGCTTGGTGGTCTGCTTTTTGATCTTACGCTTGCGGTCCTCGCCACAGGCGAACACCTCCTTGACGGTCTTCTTGCGCAGCCACACGTTGAGTCGCTCCAGCGCCAGACTCACGCCCACGTCTTGCTTCTGTCTCGCATCTGTTGGCCAAGAGCGCGCGATCGCTGTCAGCAGCGGAACCATCACGACAACACACAGCCGCACACACCGCACACGCACAAGCGGCCGCACACGTCTCATCGTATTGCATGAGAGTGAACTATGACGGGTGCGCACCAGGCGAGGCAGCTTCGTAGATGAGCTCGGTCACGGTCGGCCGACGTTCGCGTGTCCTGACCGAAAAGCCGTCGGGGTCTTGCACCTCCGAGGCGTCACCGCCGTTCATGGCCACTTGCTGCGAAGCGAAAAGAGCGCGCAGGGTCAGCTCCGGTGCAAAGAACGAAAGCGAAGGGCAGCAACGAAAGAGCGAAAGAGAAGCAATTAATAAATAGTGAAAAATTGGGCATAAAAAGGCACAGCGGAGGGGACGCACCGGCAGACGGAAGCGAACTTGGTCGGTCTCGTCGTCTTCTTCGTCAGATGAAGAGGGTTCTATGACGAAGAGATCTTTATACTTGTCCTTCCCCTTGTCGCTGTTGATCTTCAACACGGGCACCTTGCGCTCCTGCATCTCCATGCCCTCATCTTCATCCGATGAACCCCCGCCGAAGCGCACCTTGCGCCGTTCGTCTCCATCCATCTTTCAAAAAGCAAAAAATCTTTGGTTTGTTTGCTCAGGCCCCGCTTCCTTGCAACACCAAACGATAAAAGATGTAAATAAACGTCCAGACAAATTAAATAAAAGATGTGTGAGTTTGCGGTGGTGCTTGCGCGTGGGCTATTTTGAACCACACAAAATGTAAAGCATAGTGAGTGTGGCTGCCGCAGAGCATCTTGAAATTCCTGGCCACGTGCAAATAGCCGTTGCACGTCACAGAAATAAGGCCCACTGAGCAATGTGGCCCGAGCAACTTAATGCAGGGTCAGCCTCGATCTCAGTCTGACTTCACCAGCTCTCAGGCCAAAAGCTCATCATAAGACACATCCACCACACAGATGACCTTAACTCCTTGGTGGTATATGTGGTTGGGGTGTGACAAACCTTCCTCCTTCTCTTCCTAATGCCTGGTTGGGGGCACTGCCCCAGTTTCTTGTCAAACAAAGAAATGATATTGTGGCATCAAGTTTGTGATTTAAGGCCATGGGAGCAGCTTTGACAGCAACCTCTTCCACATGAGCCATCCACTCTCTTTGCATTGTTGTCACAAGAAGGAGCCAGGGGTGTTATCCAAACACAAAAGCAGCTCCTCAAGCTCCTTATACTGCTCCCACAGCTTTCACTTCTCATCAGATATCATGCACTTTTCAAGGGCTTCCTTCTCCAGCTTCCACACTGGGGTGTGCACTGCTTGAACAAGTTGTGGGTGTTGGTGTTTTGGGTCAACATGTTGTGGGTGTTGGCAGCAGGACATTGGCCTTACACTGCTTGGTGTACTTTACCAAGGCCATGTGCTGGTGCATGAGCACCACCAACAGCACCACACAGGCCTTGACCACCTTCTTGTGCTCCATCATGGCCTTGCACTTGAAGAAGCCACCACCAGTCAACACCAACAGCAGCAGCTGAAGATCACCCACATGTACACAACTCAGGGACAGCCAGAGGCCAAGAAGAGAGGCATTTGGAGTATACCATGTGGGAGCTGGGCAAGCACTTGAGCAGGCTGGGTGACAGCTGCCACTGCTCCTTCTCCTTCCACAGTGCTGTAACATCATGGAAGGATGAGTGTGAGTGTAGAGGGTGGTCTGGTAGGCTCCCCTTCCACATGGGGAGGACCAAAGTGCAGTGGCAGTCTGGTCAGAGCCCTCCTTCATAGACTCAAACTTGTCTCACAGGTCTCACAGGCTCAGCCTGGTGCCATACAACAAGAAGAGGATTAATGAGATTAACAAGATTACTTTGTGGTGCTAGAATTATAAAAAAGCAATGTATCCATACCATTTTATCCCAATGGGGATGCCAGGACCTGTAACCCAAGGAAATGAATGAAGTGGGTGGGTTGGTGGGGGGAGGGGGGCTGTTTCTTGTGGGAGGAGTGCCAGATCAGTAAAGCAGTCCTTTAGAAGAACATTTCCTCTTTATTTTTATTATTCTAGATAATTTTCTTTCTCTTTTCCCATACAACGGCAGAGTTCTTCTTGCGGTAGCCCCTTGTGTTCCTGTTGCTCAGGAGGTAACTATGGCTTCCGCCAGTAGCGCCATTGGCCATCCGATTTTTGCCGACATTATGGCCGTCAACAGAAATTGGCCAATGACCAATTTTTTCCACTGGCTGGCGAAAAAAGACAGAGAAAAAAATGAATTTCTTTCCTCCATGATCACTCGCTTTTTGTCGACTCATGGTGCCCCCCGCCAAAAGCAGCAGGCCCCAGCGCCCAATCGGAGTATGCGGCCTTAAGCCCTAAGAGGTCATGTAAATGTGAAAGAGCAACCGGGAAGTTGGCTGATTGCTGCCAAAATGCCAACATAAACCTTAAGGTACTTAGAATGATGCTCAAGGATAAAGGAGTGGACCAGAGGAACATCTTAGAACCAAACAACTCCACCCGAAGAAGGCAAAGGCGATGGCGTCACCTGCAGATACAGCCAAGAGACTCGAGCAATCCAGCCAGGCCGGAGGTCTGATCGCACTTCTTCTGTACCTGGTATCGGCCATTCTACTCATCGTGTCGTCGGCACTTACTGTCGCAAGTAAGGACACTTCTCTGGGTATCACTGGTGCCACCTCTGGCGCGTTCATCATCGTATGCCCCCCCCCCAAAACCTAACCACCTCTGTCCATGCTGTGCTTGGTTCTAACTAATGACCGTTCTCCTTGTGTATTGTCGTTATAGGCTGGAGGTGTCGTCACTTTCTTTGCCGAGTATCTTCTCCTGCGCGCCTTGCGTAGGCGGCGGGTCCCGGAAACAACCAAAGCAGCGCAAGGCAACATGATTTGGTCGGCAGTCCCCATCACCGCCGGTACTACACCCTTCGTTCCAAACAGACAGTTTCTGGTTTTGGCCAGAGCGAGTCATTGCTGATACACCATTTGCAGGGGGCATTGTCTACACCATTGGCTATGCACTCAAGATCGGTCCGGCTGGCGCCCCTGGTCCAAGCATCATCGCCACCATTGGTGCTGCCGTGCTGCTGTATGGACTCGTCAATCGACTGCTCGTCATTCAGGTTTCCAGACGAAGGCGTACCTTTCCTGGGTTCCTCCGGGTTGTGGCTATAGACTTCATTGTCGCTGGTACGACTTCTCTCTCTGCAATCTTGCTGGAACTCACTGCTAATGACCAATGCACCTCATCAGGCGGAATCATGTTTCTATTGACCAACATCATCTATATCATTGGTACGTTCTACTGCACACACACACACACACAAGGTCGAGAATGCAGCTCATGTTGACAAACACCTCATCAGGACCGAGGTGGTCACTGACGCTCGGAGGTATCTTCGGGATAATTGCCGGAGGTCTCTTCAGCACAGGCTTCATCATCATGATGATATCGCTCGTAATGGACTTCGTCAAGCTTTCGACACAGCCGCCGGAGCCCCTGCTCAGAGATCAAGAGTGACCATGTGAGGCCGGATGGGGCTGGACCGCGAAGAACATTACGGGCCAACAAGATGTTTTTGTTTTTTCGCAAATACGTTGGCTTGATCATGATGGTCTCGAGAAGGCGGCTCTGGTACGACACCATCTTGGTATCGATGTTGAGGTCCTTGTACGTGGGGATGCTCAGGTGATAGAGATTGGACCCTTTCGTGGGGGTGGACCCTCCTTCCATCATCGTCCCTTCTTCTCCTTCGTGTCCCGACGAGTCGGCCTTCTCCTTGCCCTTGTCCCTGGTGCCTCGGCTGCCTACGCCGCCACCAAAGTGGTAGGGGGGGGGGTTGAGATGGACCTGGTGCCTCTCGTCGTAGTTGAACTTGATGACGTCCTCGGGCTTGATATCCGGGTGGTACATGTAGTTTCGTAGCCGGATCTCGATGATGCGCCTCAACCTGTCCATGGGGATGATACGGCCATGAATGTCGATCGGTTCCTTGCATTCGTGGACGAACCACGTGACGATGGGGAGCTGGTTCTTGCGAGCAAACTTGTGCGAGAACACCTTCTCGATGGCGAGCAGGAGCGCTCTCTGTGAGTAGTCGTTCTCGTCGATTATCTTTTCTTGGCGATGCACACATTGAGCTCGGTGCTCCGGTTCTGATTGTAGGTGCGTCCCTTGAGGTCCTCTATCTTGAGCAGCTTGGTCTTGATCTTCCTCTTGACGGCGTTGTTGCCGGCGGTGCTGATGGTGTTGATGGGTCGGTGATACGAGCGGGACGAACACAAGAAGAAGAAAAGAGAAGAGTAGAAGGGTAGAATCGAAGCGATCGCATTTAGTCGCTGATGTATTGTTCGCAGACCTCGGCGAGGTCGCTCGTGGTGGTGAGCAGGGTGTAGGCCCGCCTGAACTCGTGCTGGATGGCCTTCAGGTTGTCCTGGTCCACCACCCGGCCCAGGTCGTGGGTGAGGTCGAACGGATCCTCGATCGAGAACCAGTGGTTCTCCTTGACCGTCTTGGGGAGCTTGTCCCACCGCTTCTCCTTCTTCGTCAGCATCGTCCCTCGCCGCACGCTCACCACCTTCACCGTCACGCGACACCAGCAGGGTCAGCCGACCAACAGCAAGAAGACAATGACGATGGTGGTGAAGGAACGCACCATGTGCTCATAGTCAAACTCCTCCGCATAAAGATAGAAAAATTCGAGCAGCAGCTCGGCCAGCGTTTCCTGCGTGAGTAGAGAGGTGAGTCAAGAGGGAGGGAGGGAGGCATAAGGGGATTGAGAGGGCTGAGCGGTAGGTACCTGGTTCTGGGACCTGAACCGTAATCGCCTGATGTCGTCCGAGTAGTAGTAACAGTTGTGACCCTTGACCATGACGACGGGGACGTCACCGCGGAGGTCGCCACTGGGCGCGACTCGCTGCAGGCACGGTAGGACGGGTGGGCTTCGCTGCTGAAGGAAGTTGATCACCTGTGAAGAAGACACAGCGCACACGACGACACGACATACCATCAACGTAAGCTCGGGCCATTTATTGCAACGAGTTGGGAGGTCGAGCAAGGAGAGAGACGCACCAGTAGGATCCAAGCGTAGGAGGAGAGGGTGCCGGTGTAGGGCTCATCCAGCTTTCGGCACTTGGCCCAGTGCTTGACAAAGTAGCCCAGCTGAAGAAGCCGGCTGTCGACACGCGAGTACTGGGCGATCATGTGGGTGTTGTGCAGCGCCAGGATGTTGTTGATACAAATGTCACAGGAAAATTTGCTGTTGGCAACACACACACACGCACACACCGCAGTGAATTCGACGAGTCAGTCCGCGCTCATTTACAATGAACGAAGTGGAGCGGCTATGAAGGCCTTCTTACCTGAGGGGATCCTCAAACTTGACAATAGGTACACTGGCGTGCGAGAGGGCCGTCACGTCCTTCATTTTATCTGCGAAATGAATGAGAAGATGAATGAGATGTGGAAGACGTCGAGAAGAGCGAAAGGGCAAAAGAAAGATCTTAACGTACGTTCACGGAGAACGCGAGCGATGCGGTTAACGATTTTCTTCTTGGTGCCCGCCCGCTTGTCGATGGTCATGCAGATGTCGAGATCAGAGTTCTTCAGGCAGAAGCCGTTGGCCGACGACCCGAACAGGTTGAGCTTCGCTTGGTAGCCCGGCCAGAGATTGCCGACGATCCGCTGGAGACGCTTGATGACGTCGAGCTTGGCCTGCATCTCCTGGTCGGAGGGCCGCAGGGTCTCGAAGGAGAGGAGCATGTCCTTCGCTATCTTTGCGCGCTTCTCCCTCTCCAGAGCGACCTTGGGCGCCTTTTGTCGCGGCGGCAGCTGCACCACGACCGGTGGTGGTGGTGGCATCGCGGCCGCAGCGGGCAGAGCGTCAGCGTCTACGGGACTCGTAGTCGATACCGGCTTGACCGGTAGCGGTCCCTTGGCGATCCACTGCTGCTTGGATGATGATGAGGAGGAATGCTGCTGGGTCCTGCCCATCGCGTGGACACCATGGGTGATGTCCTCCACGTCGGCTGCTGCGGCAGCGACGGTGGGCGTCGTGGCCGCAGCTGGCGCGAGGACCTCGGGCGGCGGCAGACGACGGTGGCTGGTCGCCGGCGCGGTGGCGCCGTTGGCGCCGCGCTGGCCCTGTCGTTGGAACTTGGACGCCGGCTTCTCCGGCTTGCCCTGCTGCTTCTGCAGCGTCCGCGGCCTGCGGCCGTCTCTGTCGGTGGTGGTCGCCGTGGTGGCCGCGCTGTTGTCACTGCTGTTGGTGGTCGTCGCGGGCCGGCCACCGCCGCCAATGCCAACGCCGTTGTTCGTTGCTTTGCCGCTGTTGCTGCGGGGCCGCGCCGTCGCTGCTGCCGGTCCGCCGCCGCTGTTGCTGTTACGACGCTCCCGCCTGCCTCGGTTTCGGGCGCCTCTCGTGCCACGCTCGTGTGCGCCGTTGCTCGTCGCGGTGCCGCCGTTGGCGATCTGGTGGCTCACCGCCGCTTCGCTCCTCTCCTCTGTCACGCCGCCTTCAGCCGGGCCGGCGCCGTGGTGGTTGCCCTCCTCTTCCTCTTCGTTGTGCGTCCCATTCGATGCCGTGCGCCTGGTGGCCGTGGCCGTGGCTGGCTCGGCCTGGGCCTGGTGGTGAGGCGCAGCCGCGGCACGATCGCCGCCATCAGCGCCATCGCCGCCGTTCATCGATGATGCGTCATCTTCGATGGGTCCTCCACGCAGGAGCTGGTGGATGTGCCGCTCGATCGTCTTGACGTCGTACACGGCTGTGTGTGCGCGCACGCAACGTCGAACATGAAACGCAACGCCACACAAGCAAGAGCGCCAACACAAGAACAAGAGTCAGCGTTCACTTCTTCTCACAGGCATGCTCAAGCAGGCTCCCAGTTGCGAGCGAGATGAGAGAAAGGAAAAACAATCGAGGTGGAGCATGAGCGGGGGCGTTAAAATGAAAATGAGCAATGCGGCAAAGATGGAGAGTGATTATTACCTCCAGGAGGGGGCGGGACGGCCGCCGGCCAGCCCGCGTGACTGCGACCCATCGCATGAGGATGCGGATGATGAGGAGCCAGCGGGTGGGCGTGGGGATGGGGAGCGAGGGGGTGGTGTGGGAGGGGCGCATAGAAGGGGGCACCGCGAGGGGGCGATGCGACATATCCAGGGGGCAGGGCCGATGGATGGACATGAGGGGGCGGCCCTGGGTAACCGCCACCGCCGTGATGAGGACCGGGCGAAGGCGGATGGTAGCCCACGGGAGGCACAATGCAGGTGGAGGCTGGGATGGCCCTCTGGTGTGTGCTGAGCTGCCGCGTGCATAATGCCTGAATGGCT